TCATTGATGAACAAAGACTGATCATGCATGAAAAAAACAATAATTGCAAAAAACTTTGAAGTATCCGTATGCATTTTGATTAGAAAAATATGCAGTGAAGCATTTGTTTCCTCTGAATCATCAAAAGGTTTATTGAATTATAAAGTTTTTGCCGAAGACATTTTTCACAACAGATGAAATTTTTATACATGTAACTCAATCTTTGAAAAAGTCGATCATTCAATGTTGGATTGGCAGTTTCTGCCTAAAATTATTCCACTCTAAAATATCAGATTCCTGACTTATTCCCATTAGATACAATTCTTGTAATTGGCTGAAAGGAAAGAAAGAAAAAAAAGCAGAAAATTATATTTTGTGCAGGATTTCCTTTTTAAGCCCTTGCGCAGAAGAATCAGACTATTTTTTTTTGCGAAATTCAATCAAGAATTTCGGATGTTGAACAGGAAATAAAAAGACACAGAGAAAAAGGATATTTTATTCAGGATTTCCTGTTTTAGCCCTTGCGCAGCAGAACCAGGCTATATTTTTGCGAAATTCAATTTTATGTATGTTGAAAAGGAAAGGAACAAAAAGTAGATAATTATTTTGCTGACGAGGATTTCCTTTTCTGCACTTGTTCAGCTGGGCTAGGATTTTTTCCTGCAAAATTTAATAAGGATCTTAACAAAAAAAGGAAATATGAAGAATCACAGGATGATATTTTTCCTTCTTTAAACATTTGCGCAGCAGAGCCTGGATTTTGTTGTTGCAAAATTCAATAGCTATATATAAAAAAAAACCAGAGAAATCAACATTATCAAAATCTGAGAAAGTTGAGTATGTTTTTTCTCCTAATTCCAAAAGTCTTCTTAAAAAATGTACTCATCACTCCTTTCCATATTTCTCAGTATTTCTATGCATAGCATGAACAGTTGTAAATTTGTAAACAATGGGATTTAATTATTCTCACAATATTTTTCCTTCTGCTAAAATCCAAAATATGCCGACCATGTGCCTAAAACCCCATCATGGAAAATAAATCTTTGCCATCCATGGGTCCATTCAAATGCTGCAAAAATGTAGTAAATTTGGAATGTTCAAGACCAAATCAAAAAATGCCCAACATCAAATGCACAAAGAAATGAAGCAACCTGTCCTTTGGGACACTTTTTCCTGCCTGTCCAAAGCATGCCTACAGTTTACAAGGAAATGAAGGAATATAACCAAGAGGGATTGAACCTGGATAAACGGTTCTTCTGCTCTGTGTGTGGCTTCCTGATTGTCCAGCACAGGATTTGAGCAGCAATAAAAAGGCATTTGCTTCTCTGGATTACTTCTCCCCCCCCCCCTTTTATTGCCTTCTTTCTGGGTGTTCCCAAATACCTGGATTGAAAAAGAGCTTCTCATATAGGCTTTCATCTTCTTTCCTTCACTGAATTTGTTTGCCAGAGAGGAAAAAGAGATTCCTTCCTTATTGCCTAAGAAAAGTTAAACTTATTCTCAAGAATGCTTCTCTTGGATTTATTTGATGAAGCTCTGGTAAACTATGTGGGTAATGACTTTATTGACTCAAAATACTCAAAAATGTCAATCTAGGATTTCATTTTCTGTTTTTGGGAAATTATTTGAGAAACAAATCCTGGTTATTTAATGTAGTCATATTGTTATGACTAATGCATATTAACATCACTTCTCAGTTCTCTCAATCTTTCAATGTTTTGTCATGCTTTGTTGTGCTTAATGTACAACTCTGCTCAGCATTCTATTGCTATACCTGAAATATCTTGCTAATCAGTCCCATTCAGTTTGTTGTGTGTTACAACAAAGTATGTCAACACGCAGATCCAAATGATTTAATGTGTTAATTATGCAACCTTATGTTTCCATAAGCTTATAAATGCAGGTGCCTTGTGTGGTCACAGCTTCAATCACCAGACTTTGCCATGAAACCTTGTCTATATTGCTTTGCTCCACAATTGTACAGTTGAACCTTGATAACTCAAACCTCCCTAAGTCAAATACCTACCTTTGTGGAATACCTCCCAAAGTAAAACTTTTTAAAGTCCCTGTTGAATTCCCCAACAATCAATGCATTAAAAACTGCCTTAACTTGAAGGTTTTTCCTTTCAAACCTCCCTAACTGAATTTTTTTGGAGGCCTTTTTGCTATTTTTTTCTTGACACAGGAAAGAAAGAAGCAATGAAAAATATAATTTCATGTGTTTTGAAAGGAAAGGAAAGAATAAATCAAATTTAGTCCCTGCCTCTAAGTTCAGCATCCTGTCAACTCATTTGGAATGCAATTTAATACCCAAAGAATATCACCAATTACAATTTTGTGCAATTCTTCTATGTTATCTACAACAAACAATGCCTGTTTCCATTAATCAAACCTCCATTATTCAAAACCTCAAGTTGAAACCTCCCCAAGTCAATTTATTTAAGGTTCTTGAATTCAACTTGGAGAGATTCAATCTTAGAAGTATCAAATGAAAAGGGACAATAAAGTATTTATTGAACAACTGCTTGAAGTATTCTGTGTACAATACTTTGAAAGGAAGCAGAAAATTATTTAAATGTTTGAGACCTCAAGGTTACTCTACTATGTGGAGCACATCATTACTTGATCAGAAGTAATTTGGCTTGTCAGTAAATGAAGTATCAAGGATTTTTATTTGCCCATAAAAGTTCAAATAACAATGATTATCTGATGTGTGATGTCAAGAAATATGTATTTCACAATAAATCATCTAGGAAACCATGTAATCAAAAATCTCAAAGAGCCATAAGACAAAAAAAACTATATAATGTCAGGAACTGGGTTAATTAAAAAAATATATCACACAACATTTTATGCAAATGAATACGCAGAAAAATTCAATTGTTTTGTCTTTTCAAAGTAAGATCAAATTTCAACAGATCAAAACAGAAAGAGGGCTGACTTGCAACTTTTTATTAAAATCCCTGCCACGTTTCTTCCCACATGAAAAAAAAAATCAATTCAAGAACCCATCGATTGATTGAATCAAGATGATTATTGGAACTTTGAAACCGTGATCTTGAATTTGAAATTCTGCGTGAAAATATCCGAGTATATATAGTGAAGAATGATCCCATTATATATATATATATTGAGCTGGTGTTTCGTTCGAAAATGAAACAAACCCGGTTGTGGTTTCCAGTCATTAGTGCGGACAGTTTTAAAGCTCTGCGGTTGTTTTCTCTCGCATTCCGTTTTCGTTTCCTCTTTTTTTCTTTTCAAGTTCATCCATTTGTCCATCATTATACATTTCCTGATGGCCCTTCTCGAATTATGCAAAAGGAAAACACACGAGGCGGCGGTGTTTGGAAACACGGGAACAAACGATCGCGTGGAATGTGGCAGCATTTAGGCTTAAACTTGCTCGTGGGTGGAATGGCATGAAGTTTATTTTATGTTTGAAGAAAAGACACAAAAAAATTAACATGGAAGAAAAAAACACACCGAGACTAATTTGACAGCGCATTTCTGAACCGACACGAACCGATTATTCAATTTTTTTCCTACCGCAAAACAAAGGAGGAGGAGAAGGAAAAACTTGTGGATGAAGAAAATCGTGATGATCCTCTTTTCCAGCATAAGTATCCTCATTTTTTTTTGGTTTTTCGTCAAATAGCTTGAAAAAATGCAACGTTTGAATTCAGCAGCTAATCAAGAAGACAGATGTCGCTCTCATAAATTTGTTTTCAGTGTTACAGTATTGGAAAAAAACCCATTGTGTCAATGTTTGTCTGAAAGTATGTTATTTGGTTTCATGGAATACATTTGATGTGTCATGATTCCTGAATGACTTTTGTGTTAATTGACCTGGAAATACTTTTTTTTTAGTGCTCATAATGATTTTTGCTACATAATATTTAAAAAATATGACATAATGCATGATGTTCAACATAATTTTTTGAATCTTATGACTATGATGATCCTCTGATGTAATTGAACAACTATAAAGATATACAGGTTGTACCTCAAAATTTGACGTGCCGCAATTTGAATATCCTGAAATTTGATGATATAGAATTTGCTGGGATGTTGACTTGCAATTTGACCTCTTGCCCCACAATTTGACCTGCAGACAGACTAAAAATGTCAAATTTGATGCAGAAAGCATCATATTTGAGATTGTTTTGCAATTTGACCTGGCAATGGATTAGCGCTAAATTTCTGGGCACCAGATCTACACAATGAACTGATGGTTTCATTATAATTTTTGATACCATTATGTGATTGATTTACTGTGCTAATGCAGACAATCACTAGCCAAGTTTTGTCTCCTCAAAATACAAAACAGTGTGATGGTACAATATTTTGAGAATTATTGCATAGAAAGATTTTTAAAATAGTTATATTCTTGGAAAACATCCTAGAGGATATTTGCAAAAATTTCAGGGCCCTTTAGTCTGCAAGATGTTGCTTTACAGCAGTAAGATTGACTAAAAAGTAAAATCTTGTCTGTTGTCTCAACACATTTTGTTGTGGATCATCTACAGATGTTTTTAAGAATCTCAAAATAAAAAATATATTGCAGGCTACCAATGCTTCTTGAATAAGGTCCTGATGTACATATTAGAGTGCTCTTTGAATCTTCTATAAACCTTTTAATATTATTTCATTTTTAGCAAAGGTTTTCTGATCAGGGTCCCAAATGCACTTTTTTTTACTGGATAGGAACTTGTTTTTGAAAAATAATTTTCACATGTCCCAATTATGCCTCTTTTAATGAAAAAAAAAACAATCCTCTGTAATTTCAAATCAGAAGAATTAATTTTTCTGGGAACAGGTGAACCCTGACTTGACCCATAAAACTACCCAGTGTTTTCCAATTCCCACAACTCCAAGCCTCCAGGTGTCGCTCCCTGTCTCAGTAATATCTCTCAGAAAAAAATGCTCTGGACAAAGAATTTCACTGTTTTTTTTCTTGTGTGTGTCTGTGTGAAAAAGGGGGTGCGAAAGTTGATGGCTTGAATCTCGGTGGTGGTTCTCACGCCCCCGCGTATTCAGTGATGAATCACTGCCGTAATCACCCGCCATTTTGCCCCCAGGGGGTGAAGGAGGAAAGAAAAAATGCTCGGCATTCCTCACATTCCAGATTGCTTCGTGTCTGGGAAAAAAAAATATAATTTGACTCTGAAATCATCAGAGTGCGTTTGTTGAGCATTTTTCACGCATGCTTCAGCGCAACATTTGACACACACACACAAAAAAAAACAGATAAAATGAGATGTAAATTAAAAACTGCCACCGATTCATCCCAATATATTATTAAAATTATTGTAAATTACGACTCGAATATCGGTGACTTGAGTAACATTTTCTGCGTTTTCCCCGGAAATTCTGCAGGTCCGAAAATGCTTGTATATACCTCTATAGTCTATACATACACCATTATTTTGAAGTGAAAAAATTCTTTTATTATTTGTCAATTACGCAAAATTATTGTTTTTGAAAGTCAACTTTTCGTTTCTTGAAAAGTTTTACTCGTAGTCTTAATTCGGGATTCTGATGAGAATATTTCTCGGAACGAATCTCATTCCAGAAGTTTTAAACAATTGAAATTATGGGGAAAATCACTGGAAAACTAAATCCTGCGGGACTATAAAACACATACTGTACTTCGATAATAAAAAGTCAGCTCTTATAATTCAAATATGAACGGATTCCAACGACCAAGAAAAATCAAACTTGACTTTAATATGCTGACTACAATAATTTTAATCCATCATCGGAAGGAAGGAAGCAAATACAGCATAAAAAATGCTAATCGTTTTAAAACACTATTTCTACTACATTCTCTACGCCCAGCAATTTTTTCATATATATTCCTCAAAATTTGTTCAATTAAAAAAAAAACCACTAGATCATGAGATTCCGTGAACAATTTTCCGCGCAAAAAAAAAATAATTCCCGTCATAACACGTGGATCAAAATCTAATCAATCCTTTATCTTCCATAGTTGAAATAAGCCAAGTCTTGAGACCCCGTGGAATGTTTTCGGAAAATGCCTGAAGGTAGCAATCGACTGAAACAATTAAATAAAATTACAATAAAAAAAACACCGCAGAAAACCTACGGATAAAAAAGTCGGTGGAAGAAAAATGCCTGAAGACGCGTAAAAAATCACTCCTCATCACGCCAGGTATCAACTGTACCTGATTTCTCAAAACCCCTGGGTTCCTTCACAAAGTTTCCATTTTTATTTTCTATATACAGTCAAACCTCTCCAAGTGAAATTTCAAGAGACCTGTAAAAATATTTGACTTCGGGAGGTTTTGAATTATGATGGTTCAAACTACAATACAAAGCCATTTTTCAAAGAAACATAGAAAAAATTCAAATGGTGATATTAAGGGCTTAAATGGCTTCTTAAATGAGTTGAAAGGCTCCTGAACTTGGAGGCAGGGGTTCATTTGCCCAATTAAGTCTCTCAATTCCTTTAAAACACATGAAATTCTTTTATTATTGCTTTTTTTTCTTTCATAGTGGGTCAAGAAAATAATGCCCAACAGGCCACAGAAAATGCAACTTATGGAGGTTTGAGGGGCAAAGCTTTTGACTTAGAGAGGTTTTTATTATATTACCATATTTACTGGAGTGCCACGCGCCCTCAATTAAGTAAGGCGCGTGCAGGGGTTTTTCAGTTGGAAATTTTTCTAAAAACCTTATCCCCAAGTACAACATGCACCCCAATTATTAGTGAATCTAAATCCACAAAACTTTGAAAATACTGTAACAACAAAAAATTTAACTTTAGACATGAATTGAATAAAAATCTGATCAATTTTCAACTTTTTCAGTATTAACAAATTTTCTTGGTGCATTTGTTCCAAATTTCTCCACTATAATCAAGTATAATGCACACATAACTTCCTAAAACTTCTTTAAAAATTTGTACCCGCTTATGACGCGCACGCCTATTTTCTTGTGAAATTTGAGAAAAAAGGTGCGCGTGGTACTCAAGTAAATATGGTATTTCTGAGGGGATTCAGATGGTGACCTAAAAAAATAGATTCATTGGGGTATTTGACTTAGGGAAGTTTGAGTTATTGAGGTTCACCTGTATATACAAAAAAAAAAATTGAATAATTTCAGATCACTTATGCTCTGGGAGGACCATGTTACAAATACCCAAAAACTAAAACTAAATCATCATTCATGACTTCCTAAAACTTGAAATATGGGAAAAAAAACTAAAGACTTTTCTTGAAAGAAGTTTTGGATGAACCCCTGTATGGGAGTAATCAGGCGGGAAAATATCTTCCTGGTCTCCCAATTTTTTTGTGTCTGTCTAGCGCAGATCATGATACGGATGATGTCTCTTGTATTCCTGAGGAACAGCACTTTTTGTCTCAAGGGGAATAAAAACAAAAAAAAGAGGGGTTGCTTCAAGGGGGTGTTTTCTTCTTGAGCAACTGAGATTCATTGGCCAGTTTCACGCCACGCTGGCAGCCAAATTCCCGGAATTTTCGACCCCCCGACCTTTTCCTACAAAATGTTCTGATGAAAAAAAGGGGGAGGGGAAGAAATGAGACAAGAACCTTTGATTCATTTCTGCTTCGGAATGCACCACCTGTATTTTCAGGAAGACCGAAAAATTGCCTGAATTTTTTATATTGAAAATTAATTTTAACTGAGAGAAGGAAGCTGAAAAAAAAACTCTAAAAAATAATTCCAGGTAAAAAAAAAAAAAGTGGACATTTTAGTTCTGGCCATTCCAGCCGATTTTCAATGAAAAGAAAGCCGCAAAATAACGTATTCAATTTAATACAGGTTCAAAAATAAATCAGTCGAGAGCATCCATTATTCAGGAAATGATACTTCAAATCAAAATTCGTCGCATATATGCTGAAAGTATTTTGAAACTCCTTGAAATTAATTTTAGGGTTAAAAATTTAATAATAACCGATTCATTATAATTTCTGAATTTTCTGCGTAAGTGTGTGTAAAAAATGCAGACTTGAACTTGTATGAAGAAAACAATTAATAAATTGAACGATGACGGTGAAACGTGATTAAATTTTCGTTTCTGAATGAAAGCATTGATTTTCAGGAAGACCAGTAATTGCCTGAATTTTGTTTTGAAATTTAATTTAAAAAAAAGGAAAACGCAGTCATGTCCAAGATTTTCAAAATAAATTAATCGGAAAAACCGCAATCAAAGAAATTACAAGTAAATGAATCAAGTGTCCAGTGAATCATCAATCATTGATAGGACATTCGATCGTCGAATTCAAAGATTTTGGCGTCTTTAATAAATTCCAGGCTAAAAAAAATAATAATAAAACTTTTAAAATCTCAATATATTTTTAAAATCGTAATTTGTTCTATAGGAAAAATAATTCGTGAGCTTTCTGCATAAGTCCGTTAATAATTATATATGCATGATTAGACGGAGTCTGATGATGATGAAAAAAAAGACGAAACGCATCAATAACCGCGTTTCTGCCAAATTTCATTGAGCCCAAGTATTGTCTGAAATATTTTAAATTAATTGATACCAGCAGGACGAAGCTTAGAAATAATTTTTAATTTTCCTCGAAAGGAAAACCAGATGACAACATATTCTAACTTCGAAAAGTACCTCATCCGAGAAAATCAGACGAGAATCCATCCCAAATTTTCCAAAAATTGAACTCGCCAACAAAAAAACAAAAAGTTGAAAACCCTGGAGTAAAAATTCATTTCATCCCGTCTTTTCAACAACAACAAAAATCGAAAGAAACCATGATTGAAAAACATATCCATGACATAATCCCACCCCAACGATATAAAATCTACACTCGATGCGAGTTTTCTGTGTCAACGATGCGCAGTTTGTCAAAGCGTGATGAAATCATGTCATTGCTCGCTTTCTGGGTCGACATTTCATAGCATCCAAGAGAAAACTTATTAATGCTTCACTCAGAAAGTTACTTTGTTTTTCAACGGAAAAAATTCCTGTCGACTTTATTCCTCTTTTCCAAGGTCGTTTGTTCGACTATAGGTTCTTCTTTTTCGAAAAAAAAAAACAAACTCAGCAATGATTTATGTGTTGAATATGGGATTCCCATTGGTCATATTTCACAGCAACAACCTGACATTAATTGATTGAATGAAATTTTCGTTTTTGGGAAAAAAAAGTTGAATACAAAATTCATCATTTGACCTCCATGTATGATTGTAGAAAAATGGTCCAACTTTTTCAGCACAAACACGTTTTCTTGTTACATTTGTTCCAAATTTCTCCATTATAATCAAGCATAATGCACAGCACATAACTTCCTGAAACTTCTTGAAAAAATTTGTACTTGCTTAATACGTGCACCCCTTTTTTTTCTTTTGAAATTTGATGAAAAATGTGCGCATGGAACTTCAGTAAATACGGTAAACCATATAATGCGTCTGATTTATTTATTTTATTTTTTGCAGTGGCTGCAATTTTGAGAAGTGCTCCTCTTATTTTTTCTCCTTCTGGGTCTCTGTCTCTCATCAGCTGCAAAAATAAAATAAAATTTTACAGGGGGATGTATCCAGCAAAAGGGGTAGTATATTTTGCCCAGCGGCACACACAAATAGCGAAAAAAGAAAACCCCCCCTGGGTGTATCATTTACCTGGCGGGGTCGGATGATCGACTGACTAACTGACTGCGTGTCTCCATTCTTTTTTTTTCTTTTTTTCTTTCTTCATATATTGTATCACTCCCCCCCTCAGCACTTACAGTTCTCAAACCCTGTTGTTGCATTTGTTGCATTGTTTCGGGACACAAGGGGATGCAATAGAAGAAGAAGAAGAAGAAGAGAATGTGGAATGAGGAGGGAAAAAAGTCGGTTGGGCCAGGTAAGTTTTTTTTTTTTTTTTTTTTAGAGCTGCTGCGGCAGGTAGAAAATCAGTAGGAGACGCGGGTCGGCCTCCCAGTCGCTCCCGTGCGCTTACTCAGGTAGCGTGGGTCTCTCTCTCTCTCTCTCTGTCTCTCAAATATTCCGTGTGTGTCTGTGGACAACCAATACCCCTGTATACCCCCCCCCCGAAGAAACACAATTTTCTTTAACAAACTTGACTTTTTTTTTTTTCCTTGCGGCTAAAATCAAAATCATACGTGATCCGCACGCGCGGATTTTCAGTTTTGAAAAAAAAAAAATATCGGCGAGGAAAAATCGGGCAATTTTTTTTTTGCTGGTGTGTGTGTGCGAAATTCACGAGGATGATGTATTCAAAAAAAATACGGTGGAAAAAATTAGAACGACGAAGAGAAATTTCCGTAAATCGAAGTGAACTTTTCTGAGGATGTTTGATTTTTTTTTTGGTGTTGTGTATTATTTCGGTATTTATTTTGGACGACCAAAAGTGAATATTTTAAAAGAAATTTAACACTAAAGAAAATTACGTTCAATCGTGTCTGTGGTTCACTTCGATTTTGTACGTTCTCCATCGAATTATTTTGGAAAAAAAGAAACAGTTGAAATCATTCAAAATTGGTCCTTGAGAACCAATAGAAATCAAAATCGTGTGAAGTGAATTTTTATTGCGAAATTCAAGAAAGCAGTTGAAATCATTCAAAGTTGGTCCCGAGACCCGATTGAAATCATTTCTCGGCATGTTTTCTTAGGAAAGGCTCTACTTTTTGAAAATTTGAAATTTATAGTGAAAACTTTTGGTGGTTTTCGAACCAAAAAAGAAAAAAGAAAACTGAAGAACCGAACGTTTTCTGATGAACAAACCCTCATGATATCGTGTTTTTTTTCTCGGAAAGTCGAGAATGTTTTCAAGTGATGATAAAATTGAATTCCTTGAATTAATTCTTTGCAAAATTTAAAGTCGGGACGATCATCGAAGTGTGAAAAAACACCTGCGTGCGATTATTAAAAAAGGATACATTTATTGAATCCAGGTTTTCAAGCAGATAAAAACGCTTGAACGATTTAAAAAAGTGCGGTACAAAAGATTTTCGTGAAAAAGCAAGCGAAGAAGTTTCAAATAAAAAATTGAAACTTTGAAAGAAAGAAGATCCTTTGCAATTTTTGCATTATTATGGACTGTGGGAGACAAAGTGTGAGTCCGGCCAGCAGCTGCGGCAGTCACGAAATCGCCGCCCTTTTCCAAGGTGAGATTTTCATTTCATTTTTCATTTTGTAAAAAAATAAAATTTCAATGGAATGATTCTTCAAAAAGTTTATAACATTACTCAGATTTTTGTATCGAGGACGATCCTATTTTCTCGACTCAAGCAACAGCTGAAGACCATCAGTTTTTGAATACAATCTCATTTTGCGCAAGAAAAAATATTTTTACACGAATTGCGAATGGATAAAAGTATGTTTTTTCAAAATCTGTGGGTTCTTTTGCGCTAATTTTACGAATTTTAAACATTTTTCCAACGTTTTTCAGTCGCATTTTCTTCAACGCAGTCTTGAAATTCCGAAAGGAGAGTAAATTTTCGATCGCTATGTAATTTTCTCAAACCAGGGCATTTGGTATTTAATTTTTTTCAAATTCAAGCAGAATTCATCTCTTGATTTGCGTCGGATATGATATTTTTTTCAGGACAATTGCATTTTCTGCAAACGAAATACTTTAAAAGAGGAATTTAATGCTATTATTCTTCTTTTTAATGTTTTTTTTAAGGCCTGAAATTTAAAGTGGGGAATTAATGCAAATAAGAAAAGTTATCTTTTTTTTTAAAGTCGTGAGGGATTTTTCTGGCAGATAATTTCAATCTTTTCTATTTCAAGAGAGCCCAACGAAGCGTTTGAATCCTTGGCTCTTTTGAAAATTGAAGAATTGTTCCTTTGAATTATCCTCTTCTGTTTTTGAGAGATGCAAAAGTACATTTCAATAACATTTTTGGTTTTTTATTTTTATTTGTTTGTCAATATTTAGGAAGTGACGGTGGGATGCCATTGACGCCACCACCGACACCAACAAGCCCTCTGGGCACCTTTTCCCTGCCAACCCAAAACCAGCCGATTGACATGTCCCTGCCGAGATTGTCAGCATTCCATGCCACTTCCAAGCCGTCGACACCATTGACACCGACACCGACAGCATTCCCATTCCCACCTCCCTTGTGTTGGCTTTTGCCTGGGCTTTTGCAGCAGCAGCAGCAACAACAACAACAGCATCACCAAAAACGCATGTTTGAAGCCAGTCTTTGTATGCAGCAGCATCAGCAGCTACAACAACAGCAACAGCAGCAACAAATGGTTTTGGGGATGAAGGGGAAACGAGCCAGGAAGCAGTTTATTTGCAAATATTGCCAGCGCCATTTCACAAAGAGCTACAATTTGTTGATCCATGAGAGGACGCATACTGATGAGCGGCCTTATTCTTGCGACGTTTGTGGGAAGGCATTTCGGCGCCAGGACCACCTCAGAGACCACAAGTGAGTTGAAAAGAAGAAAAAAAAACAACATTTCTCTCATTAGGAAAAAAAATTAATATAAACATTTATTAAATGATGAGGACTGATCTGGAAACACAACTTTAAGCCACTGGAAAAATCAACTGCTGCAACACACACAAATTATTGGGGAAATTGTAAACAAATAACCTTTTTTTTTTGGCCCCACCCCCTCCCCACAAAGTTTCTAATTTTTCATTTGGCAACAAAAAATGTAACATTCAAAACTGCTCTTGCAAATTCATAAAAGCAAAACCAGAACCATTGCCTGTACTTTGCAATTTGGCCTCATGAAATTTGGTCATCCTGCAATTTGACGGTCAAATTTGCTGGGAGGTTGACTCACAATTTGACCTTTGCCTTGCATTTTGACCTCTTTCAGTCACTTTTCTAATGTTATTTGCCACTTAATTTTACATGGTGTCTTGCACTTTGACTGCTTTGCAATTTTACCCTATAGTCTGCATGGCAATGGATGAGAGTGGAATTATGTGGGGTACCACCTGTACATGGAATCATTGCATATGAATTAGATGAAACACTTACAATCAAGGCAAATTACAACTCAAGGTTTCAGAAAGCCAGTTCTTGAATGAGGAAGTTGATGAAGTAATGTGTGCAAAGTTGTCTTTTTCTGAATGCTTGGCTCAGTCATTATCATTTTCACTGAATAAAATGTGATGTACAACAGAGAAATGATGCTTGGAAAGGATTAGTGAGAAAAACTAGGAAAATTGCAATTCAATACCTTATCATTGCCCCCCCCCATGCAGTTTATAATTTTTAATTTATTAAAAGTTGAATTATCATTCAAAACTGTAAACATTTTCACCAGATATGCAAAAAAGGATATTCTTCAATGTGAGGAAATTGTCAAACCCAAGCAAATTAAAATGAGCACCAAAATAACATGAACAAGAACAAGGGACAGATGAGTTTGCAAGAATTCCAACAGTATCCTTCACATTGACTGTGAAGAGGAATTCAAAGAGTTATTGAAAACCAATGGAGTGAAACACTTAGTATCAAAGAAAAGTTTCCACCTGAAATTTTGGAAAATTAGAATTCAAATGAGGAAGTCCATGAAATGAAGTATGTGAAGTTATGTGGCTCAAAATTCGAGGCTAACTCAGTAAAATTTGCATTTTCCCAAGCACAAATATTGTGGCTTACCTTGAAAATGATATCGAAGAAGATTATGCCTACCTTTATTTGATTGTAAGTCTTCCATTTTTGAAATTATCTTCCCATTTGATCATCTTTCCCAAGTTAATCCTTCAACTGTTTTGAATTGTGTTCTTACTGAAGTTCAAAAAGGAAAATTTCATCAAATCTCAGTTAATCTTTGGACCAATTTGCTGAAACATAATCCTGTCACACACTTGATAATCTGTTTGCTTCTCCAGTTTCCGCATTTTCCGACTTATTCCAGGCAATTACCATTAAGCAAGCTTCCTGATATTGATAATCTTTTGACACTCATTGTGATGTCAACTAATGTATAGAAAAATCATTGCTTCAATGAACCAAATGCTGGATCTGAAAACAATCATAGTTGAAACTTTAAATGAAATATCCATTAAAATCTGAGTATTTTTGCATTTTGTTCCATTTTTAAAATGAAAAATTCATTTAAATTATGCAGCCATGTTACTTTTAATCATTTGAAGGAGCCTTTTTGCATACGTATGTTCTTTAAGATATTCTCAACATAGTCTACAGAATGTGCAATTTTCTTAATTTTTTCCATGCCATGCCTCTAAGATTTTCTTGAGCCTTTGAAACCTCTTACTGCCTACTGTTAATCTTGACAATCAATCTCAACAATTGTTGGGTGCAGGGCTATATAAGCAGGCCTTTTAGGGGATTATTACTCAAAGTGATTAAAAAACTTCATTATTACAAACAGAAACCAGCTTTTTACACTCAACAGAAAAGCGATCAGAGTACAGGTGGTACCTTGCAATTCAACCTCCTGCAATTAGACCATCCCACAATTTGACAGTCTGATTTTCTTGGAATTCAACTTGCAATTCAACCTCTTATTCCCAAAATTTTACCGGTCTTAGCCTCTTTTCTAGTGTTCCTGAGTTGTTTGCCCTTGATTTTATATAGTGTCTTGCAATTTGACCCCAGTTTGACAATGAATTAGGGTCAAATTGCAAGGTACAGTGGCCCCCTGCCTAACAGACCTCCCGTGTAAGGGATTTTTGCCAAACAGACCAGCTCTGCAAGCAGTTTTTCCTCCCGCCCAACAGACAAAATCTGCCAAACAGACTTCTTTTGGTTTAAAATTAGTGTTGAAAATTGAAATNCAACAGACAAAACCTGCCAAACAGACATCGTTTGGTTTAAAATTAGTGTTGAAAATTGAAATTTTTAATTTTTTATGTAATTGGATTTGTGTAAAGGACTTTTTGTCCAACAGACTCGTCCCTTGCACAAATCAAGTCCGTTGGGCGGGGGTTGACTGTATACCACTTGTAACCAAATAAGCACAGAAATAAGAATGTGGACATTTTCTTCTTTTATTGAGTGCCTCTTTTGCAAAAAATAATATATCTTTCAAAAATATGCTCTCAAAAAAGCTATACTGTACAATGAAAGATGAGACTCACTTATTCAACATAAATCTTGTGCATCAGCAATTGATTATACAATCTCAAATTGACACAATCAACAATCCACAATTATGAACAAATGAAAATAATTTTGCCCTTTGTTTTGCCAGGTACATTCACAGCCGCGAGAAGCCCTTCAAGTGCGAGCACTGCGGCAAGGGTTTCTGCCAATCCCGAACCCTGGCCGTGCACAAAGTCCTGCACATGGACGCAGCCCCTCACCAGTGCCACGTGTGCTACAAGGGCTTCAATCAGCGTGCCAATCTCAAGGCCCATCTCGCCACCCACGACATCATCGTGTCTGACGACTCGTCATCCTCGTCATCGTCCACATCCACGTCATCCGTGTCGATAGCTGCTCTCGTCAGTGGCAGCAGTGACACGAATAACCCCGTCAGACATCCGTGTCCCAAGTGCCCCAAGTCCTTTCGGAGATACGGCGACTTGGTGAACCACTCGAAAATATGTTGCCAACCCTCAGTAGCACCAGCACCTGCTGCTGCTGTGCCAAAAAAGCCGCACAGTTTCTCCATCGAGGCTCTTTTGGGTCGCTGAACCAAATTATCATCACTATTCTTATTTTTGTTTCTCCCTCGAGATGATGAAAGAAATGAGTATTTAAGATAATACACGCATGCCCACAACCAAAGCACCCCTGCTGTTATTATTTTTTTCTATGTTTTTCAAAAAGAACAAACAAATCAAACAGAAAATGACAAAAAAAATTGAATCGAGGGATTTGCCGATTTTTATTTCATTGCGTGTGTCATATGATTTGTTTTGTTGGTTTGTTGTTTTTGTTGTTGCTCCAGGGTGTTGAAGGATGATAATTAAAAAAAAAGAAATGCTTGTTTTTCACACACACCAAAAAAAAAATGTGCATCTCTTTTATTTCCAGTTGAATCTTTTCCGTTTCTTTTGCAGCATTTGCTTCATTTCCACGCAGCATTTATGTGTAATCACACCCTGACTTGTTGTTGTTGGTGGGGGGGGGGGGGGGGGGGGGGGGGGGGTAATGTTTTCTTTGAAAGATTTTGTGGCAGGTATCTGTTTTTGTCTGCATTTTTTGTGGAAAATATTAAGTTGAGGACCAATGAAGCAGCTATAAGTGGAATTTCTTCCAAAAATTAAAAAGGGGGGAGGGGGGAGAGTTGTGTTTGTTGAAGGGAATTGGCTAAACTTGTGTGTGTGTGTGTGTGTCGGGGGTTGGGATTAGATTGTGTTGACCATCAGAACCTTTACTGTGTACGAGTATGAGGGTGGTGAAATAGGCGAGAAGCAACGCATATATATATATATATATTGAGGAGGGTATCTTGTCAGTCAGTCACCACCTAAAGGCCTGCTTCTATATGTATATGAACCCTCATCATTCAAGTTGAATATTTAATGAAACATTTGAGAGTCAGTGAGGCCGGAAAAAAAATTATAACCTTTCTTACATAATTTGTTTATGGAAAATCATTTTGAAAATGGGATTATATGCAAATAGGGGTTCAATGGTTCATTAACCACAATTTGATGAAATGAACAGTGGAATTACTTCACAAAAAAAGTCCTTGGGACCTAAAATAAAACCTTTGTTTTAGTGAAACACTTGTTATATTGATAGTCAAAGAACAATGCTGACATACTACAATAAAGGAACCATTAAAATACCATAAATGATAGAGTATCATTCTACATGTGAAACCATATGTTGTCACTAAATCCCAGGTGTAGACAGAAAACGTTTGTGGCCACAGCATTTAGTCCCATTGGCAGTACAGTATAATAATTCATTTATTGTTTTTGTCCAATTTAACATTTGCTTAGAAGTCTGGATTTCTTCAAGTTGATAACAAATGTTCATCTATAGAGTTATTCTAATGATAAAGTACCAGTAGTGAAAAAAATGTAAAGAAAGTCAAATTTTGATGTGCCTGATTTGAAGATTCTACACTTTGTTTTACAAAATCCTCTTTTATTCTGGAGACAAACTCAAGATAAAAACAAATTAACTTCAGAAAGGAGTAAGATATAAAAAGAGGCTTTGAAAATGTTTGTCAAAAGTCATCAGTGAAATCCATGCTTGGTCTGAAAATGTAGCTCTACTTTGAAGAAGGTACAGTATTCTATATTCAAAGTATTTTCTGCTGTAAGTATTAATTGAACTTATTTCCTTAAAGTATGCTCCATCTTCCTTTGCAACATGCCTTCATTATTCTCAATTGCATTTTCAACATTGAAGGGCATCAAGAAGAGGGATGTTAAGTTTAAAAAAAAGTAGAGCATTGTATTTTCTCTGACTAGTCTTTCAGTAATGTTTTGAAATTAATATTTTTTACTCAGCTTATCGAGGCTGACTTGTTCCTTATACATGATCAACAAAATTATGCAAACATTTTATAGTAATCAAAATTTTCAAAATCTTTATAAAAGCTCTTTGTATTTTGAAGTTAGTGAGAAAATATATTAGTTAATGACATCAAAATCAAACATTATGATTACAGTGAAACTTCTTTTCACTGTCTTTTTTGTTATGAAACTGACCTGACTCAAAATAAAAGCAAAAATTTTGCGAATTTCAGTGCCATTTTTCAAGCTGACTTTTCTGGTCTGTCTGTGTGAGCAGGGCTTAACGTTTGGGTGTATTTTACAGCTTTTGTAGGGAGGGTTTTTATTGAGGTGTGTGTGTGTGTGTGTGTGTGTGTTAGCATGAGAAGAGCAGTAAAACAGGACCAGGGCGAGAAAAAGTATGATCCCCACTCCAAACACTGGAATTGCGCCTGGGTGTCAGCTGAAGGTCTTTATTGGGGGGGTTGGGGGGAATATATTCCTTATTGTTGATCCACCGACCAAACGACCTTTTGGCCTGATCAACGGATCTCCCAACACCACCAGCTTCTTTCTGGGATGCCTTTGAGGGGGGATGAATAAAAGCCACCATGGGCCTTTTACTGAGTGACTTCATGTTGGATAAACTGAATATTGTACTGTATATAGGAGACTTTGATGTCTTATTCTTGACTCTATTATTCAGATCACTGCTTTTTTTTTACTGCTTCTTGCTTCTACCAAATACTTCCTTTGGCAAACATTCTTGTTCACCAAAACAAATATCCAGGCTACTAAAAGCGCCAAACAACGGAGAGCGCCAAAGATTTAAATTCAGCTAAGTACAGATAGTACCTCACAGTTTGACCCTAATCCATTGCCAAACTAGGTTCAAATTGCAAATCAGCTGAATTGCAAGGCACTTCATGAAATTCAAAAATATTCAGACAAGAAAACGCGTAGCCAAAGCCGGTCAAATTGCAGGATCTAATTGCAAGTCAACCTCCATGTAAATTCAACCATTGAATTGCAGGATGGTCAAATTGTGGGAGGTCAAATAGTGAGGTACCACAATGACACATGGTTATAAAAGTATGGATAATTTCTATCCAAGAATCCACAATTCTGTATAATTCAGCCGTAATCACAATTATTTATTATTTAAACAAACATGTGGACAAATTTTGGACTCTTCAAGCAAACATTAGGTGCCTCATAAGTGAATGTAAAACAGAATCTTGTTAAAACTAATAAGCCACGATTTCCTTATCTTTATGTTATTGAGATTTATTATAGAAAACATGATGTTTACAATGCAGGCAATTAAAAAATTAATTTTCCCAAGAAAGAACTTATTGATGATGGATACATATTTTTATAATAATACTGTATACTGTTACAACAAATTATTGTTCAAGTTTCCACAGTTTAGCCAAAATGTTAATTTAGTCTCAGTCAATTTTTATGTCACAACATGCAAAAGAACTTTTAAAGCTTCATTGTAATGAGATGCTACTGTGTAGCTGTTGCTGAGCTTTCTCTTTCAAAATGTATCCTTCACTATAAGCACAATTGAAAAATTTAGTGGTTTGTATAACTCAACTTCTACCCAATGAACTGATTTTTTAGGAATGAAGTGCAGAGAAGGTTGAGGACATAATTTCCAGCAGCTCTATAGCACAAGGTTGAAGGCATATATTTTCTGCAAAAAATGTGTGGTAGAAGAGAAATTTGATCCAACAAACTGAGGCTGGGGAACAATCTGTTGAGCAAATTAATCCCCACTGCGCCCCACCCAAGCTGGTGGAAAAAAGGCTATTGAAGGCAAAAAAAAGTCAACTGTGTTGAGTCACCACACCAGTTTAGTTTAGGGGCTTATTTACTGCCCCCAAAATACGGAGATTGAATGGTAAAAGTGGGATAAGAGTGCGAGAAAATAGAAAGAGGAGAGAAATGAAAGAAGAGAAAGAGAGAAATAACCATCCTGTTTGTGTTGTGTGGGTGGAGGGTTGTAATGGAAAACGCTGCCAGATTTTTTCTGGTTGTAAACCTAAACCGCCCCCAATGAACCCCAAACGTTTTTTCCCTCTCCCTCTTTTGCATCACTAATACCTTTCAACATTCCCCTCATTCCCAGTATCAATAACAAGAGATGAACAAATAAATAAGTCAACCATCTGCCTTGTCAGCAACTTCCAAAATACTGTACATCCTTGAATTATTTAATCTTTTCCAGAATTTGAAACTCTTGTCAAAATATACTCTCCATTATCAGCAAAACTTGGAAGCATTTTTCAACATTATGAGTGACCCCACTGATCAATCTTGAAAAATTCTGTGAAACCATGCAGATGAAATGAGCATTTGAAAAGCAGTTACTCTTTGATTTTTCATATGAGGCAAATCATCCAAACATATTGAAAAAGACATGTTTCAATAAAAAACATTTTTAGAATTTGTTTTCGCTTGCAAAACATTTATTGTTCAAATCCCAGCAGGTCAATATCCAAAACATTACCAAAGTTTGCTTTGAACAACATTTTTATTGAGACAAAGCTTTTTGCCCTGTTACCAATGGCTTGTTGCCTCAAGATTCTTTTGTATGTGAGACAAATGCTCTTTAAATGGGATATTTCACTGCATGCAGGATGTGCAGTAGAATGTTCTTCAACAAATTAATGCATGCAATTTGTCCATGTCCAATCCCCAAAATATTTTTAAAATTCATCTTGAGGAAATTATTTGAAGTAAAAGAAAGCATTCTCACCCAGGCCCTGAATGCTTTGTGGTAAAGATGTTTTACAGTGTATTTGATTAAAAGGTGTGGTTTATGACACTTGGCATGGTTGTAACAATCCCAACAGCTGTGCTTTATGTTGGTACTCTCTGGAATTTTGTGCAAATTGAAGAACCCAGTTCAAGTGGGTGTTGCCTCTCTCTCTCTCTCTCATCACAGGAGGCAGTATTGCACAACACAATGGGGCCACTCTGAGGAAGACCTTAAATCACTTTACAGCCCCTGAGGGGGGCTTCCATTTGCTGACATGCAGAAAAGGAAAAGAAGTGGGGAGGATAATTTGGATGATGAAGAAGAGCAAGTGGGTGCATCATGGAGCTTCTTGAGAGGGCCTAATTGCCCCCCTCAAGTGATGGATGAACCAGGGGGGTCAACAAGCTTGCCCCACCACTGTTTACTGTTGGGTGTGTTTAATTGGCCCCCTGTTCACTGCTGGGGGTTTTTCTCAATCCCTTGTGCCTGAGGGTATTCAATCTGGAGCAAGGTTTTTTTTCTTCTTTCTTTTCTTATTCTTCCAGTGGTTAACTTGTCTGACTGCTGCTGATTACTTTTGGGGGTTTTTCTTTTTGTTTTGTTTTCTGACAACCTGTGATTAGCATTTGTTTGTTTGGTTGATGCTGGTGTGTCTTTGTGTCTGCACTTCTGCAGTAGCAATAAGTAGCAAAATGCAGAAAATAATTCCTTCCAACTGTATTCAAGCACTGGAAATCACAGAAATATTTCTGTGATTTTTTTTTCCAATATAAAGCCCTTAATCTCACATCAATAAAAAATGCATTATCTTGAGATTTGAATCACTATAGATTTTTGAAATATTCAGTGAAAGGTTATTTTTAAACATTTTCCTACTGCTGAATTATTAAAAAATACATTTTCATGTTTCGTTTTCATCCGAAATATTTTGTGTATCGAAAAATTTATCTTTTAACTTGAGGAAATTAATTTTATCTGAGATAATAAACACACAAAAACATTTCTTTTGGAATAAGTATAAAAAGGGGAGGTTTTATGATGTTGCATCCAACTAAAAAAATTCGTGTATCAAAAGCGTTGTTGGTTTCGACGAATTTTCCGTTTAATTTGACAAAAAAAATTTACCTCAACAAAAAAAGCGTTTTTCTGCAAAAGTATCAGAAACTTGAGGTTTTTATGCTGCGTCTAACTAAAATATTTCGCGCATCAGAAGCTTTATATTCTTTTCTCATCTCGGTCTCAACAAATTTTCCACTTAATTTGACAAAGTAAAATTTAAAAAAGCAAAAAAAAAGAAGGAAATGAAAAGGGGGGTTTATTTAAAACAGCCGAGTCTAGTTCCTCGTTAAGTTTCGCGGCTGAGTTGCGCTGTTTTGAAAAGAAGCCGCCGCGTGCAATTTTCGCCGACTTCCGGCCGCACTCACGCCAAATTTCAGCGAAATTCAGAGCAAAGAAAAGTCTGAAAAAAAAACTCGCACTAAAAAAAAAACAAAATTACAAGTAGAAGGAAAATTTCATCCGGCAGCAGTTTCCGGGCTTTCCTGCCTCAAACGGCAGCACGTGCGAACAATATTAAAAACCGGCGAAACCTGGTCGTCGTTTTCACACTTGTTGTGCTTTCAAAAAAAATGTTCCTTCCTCTCGAAAGAAGAAAAAAAAAACCTAACCTTTCCTTTCACGTCGTCGGTGTTTTTGCGCAGGAAAAAAAAAATTGAATGCGAAAAATGTGCGGGAAGTTATTCTCGTTTGCCGAAACGATTTCGGATGCGAGGAAAAATCCCCTTTTTCGAATCTGGTCCAAGGGGGGGAAACAATGGGTTTCTTCTTCTTCCTTCTGGTTGCCATTCACCAGTTCGACTCTTGAGTCCTTGCTCCTGCCAAATTTACGAGGTGTAAAAAAAAAACAGTGAGAAAATGAGGAAAATCACCAAATAAATAACGTACATCAACCAGCAGTTTTTTGACTTTGCCAATTTAAAAATGATGTCATACCTGCATCCAAACCCCCTCCCCTAATCCCCACTCATATTCATTCAAGCAAATTCCATCACATATCAGAAGGGAAAACAGAGAAATAAGCTGCATATACATATTTACTCAAGTACCAGGTGGACCTTTTTTCTCAAATTTCAGAAGAAAAAAAGGGGTGCGCGTCATAGCTGGTACTAATTTTAAAAGAAGTTTTACAAAGTTATGTGTGCATTATACTTGATTACAATGGAGATATTTGGAAAAAATGTAATGAGAAAACTTTTTTGTTCTGAAAAAGTTGAAAAGTGTTCAGATTTTTGTTCAATTCATGTCTATGAAGTCAATTTTTTGTTTTTATTTTCAATTTTTTTTTTTGGTGCACGTCTTACTTGGGGATAAGATTTTAGCCAAATTTCCAACTGAAAAACCCTTGTGCGTGCCTTACTTGAGGGCGCGTGGTACTTGAGTAAATACAGTATTTGTAATTTAAAAAAGAAAATACATCCCAAAATGTACAATTGCACAAATGATGTAAATACATACACTTTCTTCCCTCCCCTGATAACAAAAGACAAAATGTCATTATTATTAAGAATTGCAGCATAAGACAATTATGCTGAGCCCAAATTAAAGCAAAAGGCATTCAGCCTGCTCCCAGATAAGGTCTAAATCATTATGAAGTGGAATTTCCAGTAATTGCCTTGTGGTGTAATTTTTTCATTAAAAAAGAATGGCAATTCATTGATTTGTTTGTATGGTGGTATATTTTCTTTTAATACCCCTGTACAGTAATGAATTAGTACTATTAAAATGGATGTTAATATAGACAATGTGTTTATGGATGTATTAGAAAAATGTATACAGTCAAACCTCTATAAGTCACATTTCAAGGGACCTGCAAAAAAATTTGACTGAGGGTGTTCTTGACTTGAGAAGGTTTTGAATTACATAGGTTTGAACTGCAATGCAAAGCCCCTTTTTCAGAGAAATGTAGAAAAAATTTAAATGGTGATATTCTGGGGCTCAAATGAGTTGAAAGGCTGCTGAACTTGGAGGCTGGGGTTCATTTGCCCAATTCAATCGTTCACTTCATTTAAAACTCAAGAACTTCTGTTTTGAATGCTTTTTTTCTTTCTTGGGTCAAGAAAATGAGAGCCAACAGGCCAAAGAAAATCTGACTTATGGAGGTTTGAGGGGAAAAGCTTTTGACTTGAGGAGGTTTCAATGTATTCTTTTTATAGGGATTCAGATGGGTACCCTGAAATTTGGGGTATTCCACTTTTTGAGAAGCTCAAGTTATTGAGGTTCACCTGGAATTTTTATTTATTTATTTATAGTTGAATCTCAGATAACACTGACTAAATATTTGTAAAGCCTTCTTCAAAAATTTGGGGTATTCCACTTTTTGGGACGTTGAAGTTATTGAGGTTCACCTGGAATTTTATTTATTTATTTATAATTGAATCTCAGATAAAACTCACTAAAGATATTTGTGAATCCTTCTTCAGACTATATTCCAAAAGCTCTCATCTTTTAATTCCCCTTTATTATCTTTTAATCATCACCATTAATAATTGGAGAGAAAGAAGAATAAATAAAAAACAGCAGTACAGTACATAGGGCAGCGACCTAAATTTCAACAATGGGATGTACATAAATGCAATATCCCGAATAAAATTTCCCCCCCTTTTTGGGAAATAAATCTCTGACACGCTCCAGTTCCGATAGTCGTGGGGTCTTCCTTTCTTCACGCTTCTTCGTCTCTGGTCAGTCCCAGTCGTGACCCCGAGTCACGAGATGCTCCGGAAAGGTCACTTGTCGGGGTCACAAAAAACCCGGTGTTGCCCAAAAATTATCCCATGAACTGGGTTACTCTTTCTCTCTCTCTCTCCCTCTCTTTTAAACATGGCGTCTGTGAGACAGATACACGTATGTATATTTTTGAAAGAAAAAAATGAGAGAACTTGTCCCGCCAAAAACGCAGCGGGAAATGCTAGTATTTTATGCCGAAAAATATACGGGTTTGCGCGCCAAGAGGTTCCTTTTCGGCGTGCCGAAAAAGACGGGTTTTGACCATGAATAAATTTCGCGAACGACGACGTGGACGAAATTGATGGGAATGTTGTCAAACACGTCACTTGGTCTCTCTCTCTCTTTCTTTTTCTTTCTTTTTTTGCGTGTGTGCCAAAGGGTGGATTAGCGCCGAAACAGCAGGGAAGTCGGCATGCAGAAAACCCTTTTCAATAACCCACCGAGTGCTGTGCGAAAAAATAAAAAAGGTGTGCGTAATGTATTCTTCGCTTTGATTACGCCAGTGATCCGAAAAGCAGATTCCCGAGTTGTGCGCAACGCACTTTTCGCAGCAGGAAGTGCCCGCAAAAAAAAATCCCTGCCCAAAAGGCAACCGCGCAAAATTTATGCGGAGAACATTTCTGCGCGGTTTTTTTTTTTTTTTTTTTACCTCGTCTCTGCTAAATGAGCTTTTTGCTGCAGCGTCAAAAGAGAAAGAAAAAAAATATTTGTGTCCCAGTTCAAACGTCAAAAATGTTTTGGCGGTTTTTTTTTTTTCGACGACGACGAGAGAATTTGAGAACCAATCATGCAAATGAGCCCTTATTTTGCAACGTTTTTGCGTCAGGTGATTTAAAAATAAATCTTTGAAAAACGCTTACTTTTTAAATAGACGTTTCAGAACCAAGTTTCTTTTCAATTTTGCATGGCTAAGTTTATTTAGATTCTCCAAGTTGAATTTACTGTATAAATAGATGAATGAAAAAAAGTGGATTTTCGGATGGATTTGAGGAAAAATTCCACAATTCAATTATGAAGGCATTAATTAATTGCATATTCGATTACAGTAATCTTTTTTCGAATTTTGAGTCAATGATAGATACAGAATTTTATTCCCAAATTACTGTATTCATTTTCTCCTCTAATCAATATAATTTTTTGCAGGATAATTTAGTCACTTTATCACTGATTTTTGCACCGTCAGGTTGGTCATTTAAAAATTTCCATCAAAGATGTCAGTGAAAATAATTTTGGTGGCTACGCTTTTAATCTGAGGTCAGTTTTGAATATTTTTGAATCATTAGTAATAGACACACACTCTCTCTCTGAAACAAAATTCAAGGGACCAGAAAATTCGCTGTAGAGAGAATTTTGTTGTAGAGAAGCCATATACCATATAAAAGAAAAAAATGTGACCAAAAATATCTATTTTATACTCATAAGATCATTTTAGACACCATTTTTATAGAGAGAATTTGCACCTTATTAGATAAATAATTTTGTAAATATTTTGGTGAATTCAAATGTAAAATCAAATTCGCTCTCTGGGGTTTTTTCCCCCATAATGTGACTCGCAAGTGTTGAATTTGCATAAACAGCTTTTAAATAGAAGCTTCAATGTAGGCAAAAGAAAAAGACTGAGGATGATGTGATGTGGAGGAAAACCGCAACAAGGTGGCTTTTTGTTTCCATCAGAAGAGAAAAACACGTGGGATACCTTGTTGATAGCAGAGGAATTATCAGATGGTGATCTGTGAAGTCAGAAACTGTTGGTTCATTGATCCTCTGAGTGTTGGGCCTCTTTGGAAACAAGGACCTGTTTTGTGTTTCCCTTCAACAAGCAAAAAACCAAACAAGTTCTTTTCTGGGCTATTCATCACAAACACCTTCTCCAACCAGAAAAAGAATAAATAAATAAATAACTAGTGCTATTGTCTCATCTCCTTATCCACTCTTCTCTCTCTCTCTCTCTCTTTTTTGTGCGCAATGGGGTGTTCCCCAAAGTTGAGAGAGAAAATTGTTGTGTATATAATGATGTAGGTGGTGGACACAAGAGGGGGAGAAACTTGGGGTTGGGCCTTTGGGGTGGGACAGAAAGACTTTGGTGACCCCAAGGGGCAGGAGTCCTGCTGTGGGGTGGCAGCTATTTTGGCCCAGGTTGTTGTGCTCATGTGGCAGCCCTGGTTTCCTCAGCATGGGGCCAACCAGAAGAAGGAATGAAAACCACAGAGTCCATGTTTTATTTTTTTGCGGCCAGTGTCTGCTTTTGAGTTGCCATGTTCCACTTGATGAAGCCAAGGCATGGGGCAGACACAAAGTTGCCTTGAGTCTATATGTCAGTTGATATTTTTAATACTGTACTGTGTTTTCTCATGTACCACAAGCACTCAAGTAAGAAACACACACACACACCTACATGTTTTTAGAAGTTTGATAAAAGGTCATCAGAATCTCAGCTGACATGAGTGCTCAAAGTCAGAGCATCTGTGAAAAGGTCACACTTTTGTGTACCAATATTCATGTTTTTTTCTGTATTTAAAAATGTGAGCTCATGTTGGCAGTTCAATCAAATGCTTTCTTTGCTTCAGTGGAAGATTATTTGCCTTTACAATTGGGCACTTATAAAATAAAATAAATTACAAGTAAATGTATTGTCTGCAGTTGAATGAATGAACAGAACACTTTCTTTGCCACTTT